CAGGTGCTCTCTGCGTCTCATCCAGTGTCGGTGTGTCCGACAGAATCGCCTTCACATCGTGCTGCTTTAGGCCGTTCAATGTAGGCCAGCCGATCTCTGAACGGTTGTTCAAGAGACAGTCAAAGTATTTCCGCCAGATCTGCATTATGTCTGCAGCCTGTGTGCAGGTAGCGCCTGAACTATCATCGATCAGCGTCCTCAGCGGCTCCAATCTCGGTATATACACCGCCTTCAAGGAGTCCAAGAATTCCTTGTGTTGGCGGCGTTCGGCGTAGCATTCTATCTGCTTCGCCTTCTCCGTCCACCAAGCATTTTTAATGCGACGGAGCTCTCGGGTCAGTCTCCGTCTTAGGTTGTGAAACTAACTATTTTTCCCCAAGTCACTGGAGTCTGCCACATTTGCAGCCAATGCTGCATTCTTTTCACACACGAATCGCCAATCGTCGCATTGTTCTCATCACACCAATCAGGTCACTTACAGTTTGCGCGCCTGATGGTCTCCTTAGCAGCAGGTGTCACCTGGTCACGAATGAGGTGCCACTGATCGCCCACTGTGGCTATGCAGTGTACATCACACAAGCGTGCAGCCATCGCCTTTTGCAGCCCAAGAACTTTCTCCACAGTACCGAGGGAGGGAATGTTAAATTTACGCCGATTCACGGCTGAAGTGCAAAACAGATTAACGAACATATATACACAATTTGGTCGGCACCAATATGTGATCACTGCCATACTCAGCTCCACGCAGGTGAAGTGTCTTTCGCACTTCACGCATATTACGCTGACGTACGATGATATAGTCGAGCAGGTGAGCTTAACCACGCCGTGGGTGCGTCAAAGTTACTGTGTCACACGCACTCAGCGCAAACCGAGTTTTCGTACCGTCAGGCCGTGAGTGGCACAGAGTTAGACGAGCGCGTCACTGTTCGCATTCGCTGAACCAATGTCATGCAGACAGATAACATCTGTCCACACCGATACATAAAGCCCAACGCGCGCGTTAAAATCACCCAGCAGATATAGTCGGTCGCTCTTCGGCACAGACCAAATCATGGAGGATATTTGATTGTAGAATGGATCACGCATGTCATCAGGATAACACATGGTCGGACCGTAGGTGCTTATAAAAGTAGCAAACTTACCTCTTCCCAGTCGTAGGCGAACAGGCATCAGTCGCGCGCTGATGCCTGTTGATCCACCCACCTGCTGGCCATGGAGGCGATCGGATATTGCAAATCCGACCCCATGATCACGTAGGGCTAAGGCGGCGTTGCCCACGCAGTAAAATGTGTAGCCAGCACCTGATTCATGCAAATTACCATGCTCAGCAAGCCGGGTTTCACTGAGCGCCGCAATATCGATGTGGTAACGAACCAGTTCCATCGCGACCAGTGCAGTGCTTCGCTCGGTGTGCTCACTCGATTTCCTGTACAGTAGTGTGCGTGTGTTCCAGCACCTGATGCTGAGTGCTTTGTACGAGGACATACGATTGCCATGATGGGTAATCGCACTCCAGGTGGTCGTTGCGCTTCGGAAATTTGCTTGAGGGACTCCACCCGGAGCCTTTGGCTCAATAACCTTATCCACAAGGCAGTGGGTGATTTGGAGATTTGCTTGAGGGACTCCGCCCGGAGCTTTTGACTCAATAGCCTGACCAACAAGCAGTGGGGAGCAGATCCAGCTCGGGAATGTGAATGCAGAGACAGATTGGGTCCCGCTTAACGGCCGTCACACGCAGCCTTTGAGGTACTGGAACGATTTATATATGTTTTGTGACCGTAATTGGATACGCACCTGCGACCACGGCCAGACGCAAGTGGGTTTTGGCGGGTTTGCACCAATTTGACCAGGGGCTGCCTGGCTTGAGGCGGGCAGTAGCAAACCATTGAACACCCGGAGGTGCCCTCTCAACTTCAGAAACAATGCGTGGCACTCGTGCTCTACGCCAATCGAGCTGTGAGCTTATAAGCCGTAGACCTGTTATCTCCCATGGCTATGTTTTACGGGAAGAGGGCCATCGACCACTTCCTAACATCCGAAGAGGATGGACTAGGATACTGCCAGGGCGCCAACACATGACAGCAGAACGACTCGGGTCCTCAGCCAAAGCGTTCGATTAAATGTACACCAGAAAGGCAGCGGGTCTAGCACATAGTCAGTTCACTGTCTCATGCCGGTTGGTGTCCTGGATCTTAGCAGGGAGAAGGGCGAAACCCAACTCTCACCCAGCGGTCGCCACGAGGAGGCCCCCAGGACATGAGAAAATGGCACAACAGTAGCAGCAGTGGGTAGACCGTCTGTCAGGATCTAGCCAGTACCAGCCTCAGGTACAGAGCTGACAACAAACCATCAGTACTTGAAGTCGTCCTTACAAATGATCAACTCATGATCGTTAGGCCATTTATGGATATCCCCGGGGTTAAGCGATCGTCAGTGTACTTTATATGTGTGTGTTGCTCTGAATCTCCCGAAGAACACACAGAATTAACACGTACTATTACATAATACAACATCTTGAGCAACTTATTTCAGAGGACCATTGGTGTTCTTGAAATGTGGCTTACCTGATAGCGCCTGGATACATTTTTTGGATGCTTCAGCAATCTAATCGCATCAGCTTCAGAAACAAAGTGAGTTCACTCCACCAATCACTCGTCTTTCATCAGAAATAGAACTTTCAAGCTCGTGTCAACAAGAAATGTAGCTTGGCACAATTACAGAGCTAGTCCTTGTCCCGAAACCTGTAGCTATTACGTGACCCAGCGCAACCACTGTAACATGCTTGTCCGTGCGGACAAACTGACTCAACAACGACATTTTTCCTGTAAATTTGCCAACAACTAAAAGCTCCTATACAAATGTGTTAACACCATTCGGAAAATGAAGCTCGTTGTCCCACCAAGTTAACACGTCAGTCAGAGTGGCACAGAGTGCAGAAGAGGCAGCCAACGTCCTATGAATGCAGTATGCTCCAAACTTCCAAAGAGACGTCCACCAGTGTTACATACCCACACCCCTATTCCTAACTTCCACCCTCATCAATATCGATTTTATTGCCACAACTGTGTTAAAGAATCTGCTCTGAGTACGCACTTACAACTCTCCCGGAATCGACTATATTCACCCAAGGGCGCTGAACATAGCGGCAACAACACTGGACGAGCCATTATCGAATTTCTTCCAAATATGCTTGGATAAGTAAATTATGCCCAACATGTAGAAACATGGTGTACTCACTTTAATTGTTAAAAGCGGAAATCACTCCGAACCCGCAAACTATCACCTAGTGGTCCTACTCCCTGTGCTCTCAAAGGTGATGGAAGCAATCATCGGTGAGAACACCATCTAGAACGCCACAACGTCATAGCACCCGAGCAACACGGTTTCTGCCAACAGCGTTCATCCACAACTAACCTACTGATTGCACGCAGTAGTTGGACGGAAGCGGCCGATACAGGCAGAGGGACAGACATCATTTACCTTGACTTCTCCAAAGCCTTCGACCGACTGGACGACCGCATTCTGCTTCACAGGCTCGAAAGCTATGAAGTTGGTGATCCAGTCCTTGGGTGGATCCGGAATTTCTTGCAGGATCGGCAATTGCAGCTCAGAGTTCGAAGTGCGTTGTCTGATTCGATTTATGTCGGATGTGGAGTTTAACAAGGATTACTTCTTGGGCCGCGTCTGTTTCTCGTGTTCATTAACGAGCTTACGCGTTTGTTTACTTCAGATTTCTTGCTGTTCGCTGACGATGTTAAGTTGTGGCGGATGATCGCTGACCCGGCAGATCACGATGCACTTCAGCGAGACCTGGACAGAGGGTATGGTTAGTCACTCCACAAACTGCTTCGGTTCAATTCGGTGAAGCGTAAGGTGGTTCACATTCGCCAACATCGAAACATCGCAAACAAGCTTGGAGATCGTGTCCTCTAAGCGGTCACCCAGGAGCGCCACCTTGCGGTACTAGTCCAGGCTGATCTGGTCTGCTCAGAACCATCTGAGTGGGCTTCATAGACCGGAAACCAACACGTTGGCATGCTGAGGAGGACATTTGGGTGGTTTGATCCCTCTGTCTGTTCGCAGTTGCTTAACCTTTACGTGTGGCCTAATGTACAATACGCGATCCAGGTGTGTTAGCCCTGGCACAAACAAGACCTTGCATCGTTGGAGACACCACAGCGACGAGACACAAAGCACGTAAAAGGGTTGTTCAATCTTCCCTATCAGCTTAGACTGAAGACCCTAAAATTATGCAGTGGCCGGTACCGGCGCCTACGTGGCGACCTTATTATGGCCTACCAGATTTTAATGAACCCCAACCACGTCTGCCATCACCTACTACAACTGCGTCACAACACAAATTTGAGGGGCCACCATTTCAAGTTAGCCACGCAATACAGTCGGCTAGAATGTCGACGGAAGTTTTACTCTCTTCTTGCCACTCTCTTTCTTCAGCTCTCTCTCTCTCTCTCTCCTTTCAGCCTTGGAACACCCTCCCAAGTGAAGTTGTTTCAGCCCCCACATTACCTGTCTTGATATTGCCCTAACCCACCTACACTAGGAGATATAGCCTGTATGTTTCGACAGACGATATAATGCGACGAATGTTGCACAACCAGAATTAACCTACACAACTGTGGTTGACTCTTTCTGCGTGCCTCTGTGTTAACACTGCGTTGAGTCCACCAAATCGATTTTCATTTTATCCCTTTGTTTTCTATTCACCATGTTATGGTTCTCTTTTTGCCATCCTACGGGACTTGCTAAGCATCCGCTTTTTGGCCCGTAATATACCACTGTTCTATTGTAACATGTGCAACAGTGGAACAGTTAGTGAGGTTTCACAACCGCCTTCCGTATATCTCTTTTGACGTTAAATCCAGTTGCCATTGACAGCCAAATCACAGCGCTCTTTGATCCAATATTGCATTTGCAATCATGCATCAATACATACCCGTGGTACTAACGAGGGTTGTCCTTCGTGATTTTCCTACACGCAGATCACCACAAATGTGACGTTCGGCTTCCTCCATTATCTTCACCGTCATCCAATTTGCTTTGAAATCTATGGACATGTAAACGAGGCATCGGAACCGACGTATGAGCAGTCTTCCTGCAGCGTGAACCTCAGGCGAGTCTTATAATCTAGCTCAATTGGAAAGGATATATATACTATGAGCGGTCTGCATATCTAGAGCCGCATTAGATCGAGAAAGCAACCGCTTAGTGTGCAACAGTTTCGTATAATATACAGAAAGTATGGGATCCGGAGTAGATTGAGGTCAAAAAGGTACCCGTAACACGCGAGCGATACCATTTAAATTCTGTGGAAGCAAATCGTACTGGGAAGTTCACTCACAGATAAACATATGTTGTTTTATCCATTTCTAATGCTTGTACATCAACAATGCTATGTTTAGGAGTTATCCTGGTGTGTAGACATTAGTCAGTTGCCATACAGAAGGTAGCTAACACCCGAAAGATGCTGCAGTAGCTGAGAGTAAAATAATTGTAGCTGCTCGTTAAACTGTCATACAATTTCGATACTTTAAAAACAATTGATATTATCCCTTATCTAAAGCCGTGGCCAATACACCCAAAAGAAAAATACATCAGTTGCATATTGCACACATTAGCCTTAGATTATACGTTCAGACTGGGAATTGTTTTCGACGGAATAGTGAATTAACTATGTTCGCACTGCTTGACCGCGTGTCTGTAAGTGTAACCCATTTTTATTCTACCTATCTGAAATCCACACCAGAGGGGCTTAGCAGCTCCCTAGAAGAAGCTTGCCGAAGCCATAATATAATGGCACTGATTTCCCCGTGGAACCTGTGGCAGCCCACTGGGATTATTTAGGAAAATCAGGCGGGTTCCCTAGAATTAATTCTAAGTGGCCTCTCAGAAGGCCGATATCATTTGAGTCGTTCCTTAGTTCCAAAAGTCGTCAACCATGCACATCCGCTCAGCAAATCAAACATCAGTAAATGAAAAACAACTTGTTTTCTTGCTAAACTTAGAGATGTATCGAGGCCTGGTAGTTAAGTAAATATGCTGATGGGATTCCAGCCAACACAGCCGGAATCCTTGGTCAGTAAAGCTAATTTGTCTAATCTATCTAAGCGTAAAGTCCTCAAATCTATTATTCTCTGCTCAACTTTGAAGGAAACGCATGGATCATGAAAACGGGACTTAATTACAATAGTCAATATTTTATAGTAAATTGCCAGGTTTACTTACTGGGAGTTGCAGTTGCTAGAGTTTATATGCAACACGTTAATATTTAACCAACAATCAGTATTTATAACTGCACATGCCACAACCGTGTTAGAGTACATTGGGTAAGTTAACGCTTCAGATAGCGGGATAGGAAAAATTTTCACCAGCAGGAATTCTGGATGGGTTGCGATGACGTTGGTTAACATTGGAGAAGAAGACAACGAAAATCCACCTGAATGCAGATTCCGGTTGTCAGCCATTGGATTGTGCGAGTTACAAAAAGGGGCATAGATAGAAGGTACATTCTGAATTGTTTGAGCTGCGTAACCCACTCTCTTCTCAGCGCAAGCTAAATTCGTATCGGTGCCGAAGCATGGAAAATGATGCGCGTATTTTAGCTCAAATGATCAACAAACAGGTATTCCTTTGCAATCAGACACTGTGTTATTGGATTAGACAAAAGGTGAAGAAATATAAGATGCGTTAGGTCACAGTCTAGTAGAGAAAAGACATGGGACTTTGTCAATTTCATCAATTTGTTTACCACGATGTTTCATTTCAGACGATATCGAAACTTGTTACCTTGTGCGTTTCCGACATCCGATCCAGTGCCTGCTACACGGCTGAGCTTCTCTGAGCCACATGTTGGGTTAGTTTCTTTATACTTGATATCTGTGTGCGATCAGTCATATGCGTTAATGTACGCTCCACAGGATGCAGTTCGCAAACTTTACCCTATATGATGAAGTTGAATGATTTGTTTAGCACTATTACGTAACCAGATCCATGCGGGTTTGGAACGTATTGTTTACGGTTGTTCGCTTTAAAAGCTCTCCATTCCCTTGGCTACATATGGCAAAATTTCACTTTGCTTTTGCCTCAGTTACATATCTAAACCGCACTTCAGCCATTCCACTAAGCGGTCGTTCTTATAAAAGAAATCGTACGCATTTAACGTTACATCGAAAATTAATCGTGACTTTTAATCGTGACTTCTACGTTCTACGAACCTTATGCTCCTCACAAACATCCTTCAAGTAATCTACCATCGCCCTTTGGACATCAGAAGGACAGTTACTTCGGTCTATTGGGAAGTGACGAGTGAGTGAGCCAATCTGCAACACCAGGACAGATACTGTGAGCTCATTGGCAATACGTCGCGCACCAAGCAGAAGTCATGTATTAAATTGCGCACCTAATCGTCAGTCATCGGTAGCTCAGTGGTAGAGCAGCGGACCGGAAATTCGTGGACCGGGGTTCGATTCCCCGTCGAGGCAGATTATTGTGTGGAGTTTAATCGTGACTTCTACTTTCTACGAACATCGAAAATTGCCGGTGATGAGGTTTTGCAAAACAGCAATTTTACTTCCGATTATTGAAAGTTAACCGGATGTGCGGGTTCTTGTTGCCCGGATATAATTGTTCCAATTTTTGCAATTATGACAGACAGTTCGTTGTGTACAATCTGTTATGACTCACTGTAAGTATGAAAGCGGTGTCTGTCTACCGGAATTTTATGTGAAACTCAAAATGCTTCACTCTGTCCTCTCAAATGTGTCGCCGCTGCAATTCACTAAATTCCATGGTCCAGCATCTAACGCTCATCATGCGTTGTTTGTTCGCATGCATCACTTGATCGCTCCAAACAGTTTGTCTGCTTGGCCAGTCATCAGCTACTATTTATTGTATTTATGTGGCAAAGGGTCATATATGGAATTTTGTCTCATACATTGATATCTGCGGGCGATTTGTAACCAGCTTTATTGGAGTTTTAAGAGTTTGGCTTATCCAACATATTGGAGATTACAAGCAATTTAATCTGTGTTCCGGCAGTCTGTCTAAGCATGCCCGAGCGAATGTTTAAACTATTAAATCGGCTTTCTGCTTGCAATTTACTTACGCAACTTTACACCAGAACCCGTAAAGTAACCCTTCCCATCGTAATTATGCGAGCAGTTATATAATGCTTCTAGGCACAAATTCAGCTGCCAATCTGCGAACCTTGGAATCTTGTCCTTATAATGGTATCCTTCCTCAAGCTAAAAACAGAGCCAATTTATTAGAATTTGCAATACAGTGAGTGGTTGTTGAGCGGCATCCAAGAGAGCTAACTCCGACACACATTTTTATCTAGCGTTGGAAGGAACCTTGAAATTACTATGATCTTAACGGCGGTTCCAGTTGGATAGGTTTCCCGTAGACTCCTATCTATGCCCGGTTGTATGCCAGATTACGCGATGATGGTCAAGCAGGGTGTCGGCGAAATGAACATCACTATGGACAAAATACCAAAGGCAACATAAGCAAATTCATAAAGAACACTATTAGGGACAGTTAAAAACATGTGTAAGTAGATATGAGGAGAAACTTCTACGCGTGTACTATGTTGTGGGCTAGCCAGAGAGGACAATATTCTGGTTTGCTGATTAAGCGTAAGTTCCATGATTTTAAAGAAGAAACAACTAAACTCTGTACATACCCACCGATAGGCAGTAGCGCATTGACTCGGAACATGGTGTTTGTCGTTCTTCCGTGCGCATAAACAAGTTCGAACACAATTCTGTCGCAACATTGACATCGGGTTCTCCGGACACTGGCTTTCTTCAGGTTAGGTTTGTTCTAACGACGAGCTTGGCAATTTGATGGCAGATGTTTCGTCACCGAACGAGGTGACAGCATCAGTGCAGAGTTGGATGCCGCTTAGTCGCCAAAGCTCGTACCAGGCAAATCCGGGAATGAATTCACTCCTGGATTTGTCGGGTACGAGCTTTCCCGAATAAGCTACCATCAACTGTGCACTGACGATGTCACCTCGATATGTAATCAAATTGCCAAGATTTGCGAACAACTGAGCAACTAAATCGTCAACCCGATATACCAGTATTCAAAACCATTTTGAACCAAATTTTTTGTACACATTTCCGGTCCCATAACAAGTAAAATTTATGGAGTCATTTTGAACTGGCAACTCAAATGGAAGTAGTAATATGTTAGTCGAACATGATGGTCGTTTCGTGTTACTTGAACCCCATATGCGCGCGACAGAATGATCGTTGCAGGATTTTACTTTGTATAAGTAAAAGTTTGTGTTGATTTTACAGTTCGGCGGTTCTGCGGCGCGAAGACATACTTGTCTGGTTTGAAATCTTGGAACTGGATTCCAACGGAGAGTGAGTGTCCTTACTTTGTGAATGAAGGTATATTTATGATAAACACTGTGAACTACTGTAAACTACTACTGTTAGCTTTTTGTAAATTTTCCGCAAGTGTACTCAGCTCAGCTTTACCACCGAGCTCTAGAAAACAGAATAAAACGCATTATAAATGTGTGTGTGTATGCGTGAGTATGCATTTCTTTTGTCAGTGTTAATCACAGTACCTACTTCTCCTGTTCCAAGGTACCTTCCTGTGCCGGTGGACCGTTTGGATGAGGTTCCCTGTCAAGGAGTCTTCTTAATTCACCAAGGTTTGCAGCGACGTCTGGCAGTCACGCTTGTTTACGATCCTATGTGTCTGGCTTCCGATTACAATTCCACTGCGACAGCGCTATTCAAGGATGTGTACGAGGTTGTTGTCGGGAGAGTGAGAGACACGGCGGAATGGACAGAATCAGACTCACGCACAAGAATCATTTCGCTGTCTGTGCTACCGGCAAGATACACGCCTCACGCAAGTGATGAACGGTATGCGTATTATTCCAAACTTGGTCTAACCGCATTGACTACAGTTTTCTAGTTTAAAAATCAAATAAATTACTTTTGAAAGTGATTACTGGCATTGTCATGTGGGTAGTGTCACGCGGTAGGTGGCTAGCGTCCGTTTAGTTCAACTATATGATGATTGGTTGTGCGCTCTAATACCAGCTAGCCAACCATCTGCTCTATCACGAGACTTACGTTCCGTAAGTCATATACCGTGAATCAATGGATTGATAAGCACAAGCGTACTTTGCTCGCCGGATTATTGTCCAAAAATCTTGCACCATCTGCTTAGCTTCACTGCGTGTTAATGCATAAACCAGTAGGTCGTCTGGCGTAAGTGTCGTTCGCAATTACGTTCGACTTGCTATAAATCGAACTGACGGCAGTTGTTTTTTCATGAGCTTAAGTGCTCGTTGGTCCACACATGTTTGGCAGGACCTTACATAACCTGATCAAAATAATCTATCACGAATGAGTTACAGCGCGTTGTAGCGACATTGATTAATATCGGGTACACAACTAAACTTATCGCCAGCTATTGAAGGAGTAGGTTAGCAAAGAGAAACCAACAGGTTTTTCCAAGCAAAAGATGTCCACAACCCTATCATTCAAAGGGGAATAAAACAATAAAAGATTCTTCCACCGACTACCCCAATCCAAACAGGGATGCTACTACGCTATTTGGCTAGTATAACTGCATCGAATCAGGAAGTTGCATTACGAGTCCAACTGAAATCCCGCCATCAATTTACCCTTTCTGCGTTTAACAAGTTAGCTGTAATTACGATAGCATGTAGACAGACTAGACTGAGAGACGGCTACGGACTATGATTACTTAGCAGATTTCTCGAGGCTTAGCATTGTGTAGGCCTAAGATACCAACAACTTCAAGTGCTCGATTTACTTTGTACAAAATGCCTTCATGATCATCAATAGACCAATTATACCAACCCTGCCCCATTTTGTTGAAGCTTCCACCATTTGTCTACTGAAATCCAACCCATGCAAACACAGAGACCTTCTGATCAGCTTAGGAAGACTCTAATAAGGCACAGGTTCGGTCAATAGAGCCTATGACACTGATCATCGAAGATCCCAGTTTAATACGCTTACCGATCCTATGTCATTTAATGCTAACACTTCTTGTGACTAACTAAGAATATACAAAATATACTGAATTAAATTTGTCTTGCGAAATATAGACTGCTCTTTCTATGTTGAAATTCATCAAAAGAATAGGCTGCATAATGGCCCATTAAATAGGATAAACAGTTCCAGCTTGGTATAACGTTGTCGAAGAACCAAGTTATCAATAATTGTTTATTCGCTTATAAGCCTTCAATGCTGTTAGTATTGTCAGTGATTTTAGAAGGAAAAGTTTAAGATGTACATTGTGTGTCTTCATGTGATACGGCTAACTCGTACTAACAATAGGACTGATCATACTTACACAATCGACTTTTTCTTGCACGTAAGTATTCGAAGATTAAGATCATTAGAGATTATAAAGTAGCAGCCTCCATACACAAGCCTTGCATTTTGCCGCTGATTGTTGCATTCAATTCGAATGGCAAGCACACTCAGTCGGTCAATTCCGGTGCGTTATCTGCAAAATAACGAGGATGATCTCAAGGGGGAGAATTGGGAACCAGAACCAAAACAAGGCAAGGAGGACAAAGATGGGAATGAAGCGTCATGTCAAAAATAAAGCCGCGATTTGTGATATACTAAGCTGAGAAATACGGAGCCCCTATAAAAATACTAATTAGAACTGAACCAGAAGGAAACTTGCATCAATATACCCAAATCGCCGACTACTGACGTTTGGTAGTATACCAAGCATAACTAAAGCAATAAAGGGACTATTTCCAGATTAGGGTGAACGTAAATAAGTATTTTCTAGCCGAGAACCACTAACAATCATTTAAAAGTGTCAAAGGCACGGCTGTTATGGCTGAGGAGAAATTGAGGTTGTGCCCTGGAAGTTTCACAGTCTGAATTATGCTTGAGTCTACACGTGTTAAACTAACGCAAGTCTGTTAATGCAGTAACGGCTTATAGCCGAACGACACAATTCCAACAGATCGCGCGAGCACGCAAATTGCATTCTGGCAAGAACGTGTACAGAGTATGGATGAAGTAACGGAAGCTAAGCTATTAGATAGATAGACATGCACGCGCAAATGTGGGGAACTATGACTGGCGACAGTGACTCTTACGCCACATTTGTCCTCGGTTTAGTTAGCACTCCCCTAACAGCTGCATGGCGTACACTTATCGAGCGGAGAGTTGTTTGGGCTTATGGCTGGCTTGGGTTCTGAGTGGCCTTCGCAAATACTGGCTCATTAACGGGCTTGGCAATATGTGCCCGCTGCTTTGTTATTCTTGTCCGGAACTAGGAGCGCCTGCACTCTGGTGCTGACGTACACCGATACACTGAATTGCTAACTGTCCAATAGCGCAAAATGCTTTGCCGGCTGGGGTGAGCTGGGACACAGAGATCACATGTGTGCCTAATAAAGCAGAGCACACCGAGCCGTTCGGCTGTGAGAATTGAATGTTAGATAGACACCATAGCCTCAATGAATGCGTCGAATCTCGACCGTATATCAAGACCTAGGGGACGCACCCCGTTCAGTTGTGAGAACTGAAAATGAGCCAGACGCCACATAATCGCACCGAATGTGCCATGCTTCGATCGATCGGTAGTCGGCCTTCATGCTGGTGAAAAGCCAGCAAAAGGTTTTCTGTGAAGTGTGTCGCTGTGCGATCAACTGAGGAAAACAGCTTGGCAGTATGTGATGGCCGTTCGATGGGTGCCGTATTGCCAACGCCACAAATCTGTTATCGCCTCATGACTGGTTTCCAACAAACCCGTAAGCTTTAATTAGGATGTCTTCGCTGCTAAAGGCAATCATAATGCCAGGAGCACATTGCAAGGTTACAGTGTTGTTCCCTTTATCGTTTCGATCGCCTGTGTGTTAAAACTGAAAATTCAACCTTTATGCGTGCGTAAAAACAATTTCCTGACTTGACTTGACGTGACAATGCTTTTAGGTTTCATTCTGCCCCAACGCATGGTGACACCAATTTAGTTATGAATGCAACTATGGCCTTCACAGTTTGACTAATCACCTGTTTGGTCAGTTCTACCTTGTGAACAATCGCTCACTTATTTCCCTGGTCGTTCGACCTATGCTCTCACCTGCATGTTCACTCAACTCTGTAATTCGACGCGACGAACGACTGCAGGATCAATAGAACAACGATCGACGAACAAGCCGGTAGAAGCGTCAACTAAGTGCGCCGCTTTTCAGTTTTGTATTCGTATTTTAGGTAATGAAGTTTATAACGAAAATTGACTAATTCGCTAAGCACTCACTAATGACTAGTTAGTGGTGCCTGATCAATATTAATAAGGTGGTTAGCTAAGTATCTTGATATAGATGATTTTCGATTTACTTTTATTTAGCAACTGATTGATGGTCCAACCTTCCTACTTATATTTACCCCTTCAAATTCTTTTTCACCCCTTTGATGGTAAGTAAGCCCAGGTTGAGAAGCACGCAACGTGGTAGGCACAAGTGTGTTTGCAGTCTTGCAACAAGACCTCAGCCATTCGGTCCTCTGCACAAGCATTGAACTTTAAGTGGGTGGTGGAAGCAGGTACTTGTTCACCAACTGGTTCCAAACCCAAAAGCCTGGGCTATGAAGGTAACACGAAGTAAGCACAGATCCGGACAAAGGCATACGTGATAATGGAAATGTCTGAAACACCTAGTTACTCCCATTGACTTGAATGAGCTCGTTGTGAATAAGGTCAAAACGGCTTGAGCTAGCCAACGAGATGTCAGTTTGTCGCGAAAGGATGTGAGGCATGTATGAGCAGAGTTTGCCTTCATTCCCAAAGGGCATGCACAAGGCAGGGGGCGTGACCCCAAGCTCCAAACATGTTCAGTGCAACGTCTGAGTTTGTCCGGAACTGTGCTGATTTCAGTTTACCTTCACATCTCAGGATTTGGGGTTCGGAACTACTTCATGAACAAGCACCTGCTTCCACACACACCCATTATTGTCCAATGCTGGTGTCCACCTAGAAGTACGGATGGCTTAGGTTCTAGCAGTTCAGTATGATCATGTTGTGTGACCGTCTAGTTTTAGTTTTGCCAATTTTTCTACCCCCTTTCCCCAAAGCGCAATTGCTCTGTACCCCAGCTGCGCCTAAGTAAAACAGCCATGCTAGCTTATTGTCTGAATGTCAACGGCTGATGGCGGTTGACCACTCAGGGCGTCGCAGATGCAAATTTCGTGGCAAACGGATTATACTTTTTACACTAATAATATAAGCTGCTGCACTACGGATGCAAGGGAACGCCTTAAGGATACGATCAAACTAGAAATGGTATAGTTTTGATCAGAATAGGGTAGGTCTAACTGTGTTTTCAAGATTCGCCCCAACATCATTTCGTCTGGGCCCTTACCTGTCATTTTACTTGGAATGGACCGGTAAACGAATAAAAGTTTGTCCAACTTCGTGCACACTGAAGCGGATGATTGTTGTTGCAACCCATTTTAATTATTTGGACTGCTCTTTTCGTTAGTCCATTTGAGGTTGGCTGGTAAGGGGTGGTCTTCACATGTCTGATGTTGTGTCTGTGAAGGTAAGCTTGAAACGGCTGAATAGTGGATACAGAGCCGTTGTCTATCACTGGTATTTGTGGAATACCGAATATATTGGGACAAATTTGCATGCAGGAACGGTTGTCTTTGAAATAACTTGCGCTAGCAAAAATTCCCTAATCCATTTGGTGTAGACATCGAGTAGAATTAGAAACATCACGTCAAGCGGACCAAAGTAGGTTGCATGCAGGTGGTCTTGTGGCTTGTCGGGCCATTTTCATGGACACATTGGAGTCGGCAGGGCATTTATTTGTGCAAAGTTGACATGGTTCACAGTATCTGATCAATTCTTCAATGTGGCTATCAAGGTTGAACCAACAAATATAAAACCCTACTTGCTGTTTTGATTCCAGCGATATCAGGATAAGCAAAGTGCAGTTTCACTAGCACATGCCGTATTAACCAAGGTGGTGTGATAGCTTTGACTCCTATAAGAGACAGTCCTCCTTGAGGCGCGGCACTGTACGTCGGGTGTACTTAATTTGTGGCCAGTACTTCGCAACCCCATCGACATATGTGACACCTCCCAAGGTGCGATGTACTGCTACGAAGCAGCTGCTAGCTTGCTGGTCATTCATCGGTTGGATGCAGGTTAGCCAAGAGGTCTTATCAGTTCAGAGCCTTGGTTAACAATCTGAGTAGGAGAGCAGACGGAAATTCTATTGCTATTTTGAGTGTCGTAAGACCCATAACCTCCCTTCCGATATTGCATCACAGTTGGCCTCTAGCGAAAGCGTCTACTGAATTATCTATATCAATATATATGTTGTCGCATAATGTGGCTATTCTCTACTTGTAATTCTAAATGCACCAATCTGCTACATCTCCGTTTGCAGAACATTCTTCCGCTTTGAGGCTGCTTGGGACAGCTCGCTACATGGTTCCTCTCTCTTGAATTGCATCACTTCCCCCGGACAACGTGTCTACATGACACTGTCTTGCTATTTAGAAGTGAATGGATGTGATAGACCCGTTTGTCTCACCAAAGATTTGGCCATGGTTGTGTTTCCAAGAGACTCGAAGCTAACAGTGCCGAGGTCAGTTTAAAGAACATTTCCTCTATTTAATGAAAGCCGGGCCAAACGTTCCTTTACACATTACAGCTCTATCAAGTGAACGCAACGAATAAATAAAGTAAAACACCAAGTAATTCTGAACATGATCTTACCTCAAACTTCTGGGTAATAGCAAGCTTTTATGTAGCAGTAAACTTTCACCGAAGGTTCAGTGATGGAGTCAGCAGAAAGCCTATATTTTTCGAAGCATTTTGGTCAAATCAGGAAGACCAAAATCGGAGCTATTTCTGTTTCCGTTGAGGCAGACTATCAAACGATCGAGGCAGCGTGATGTTATACAATCGGTCCTCATTGTTCGTGAGACTGGTACACACTTAGCACAGCGAAGACGACATGTGCGAACAGTTATGGTGATCGATGAGCATGAGACAGAGTGAAGTTTTTGTGGGTGCGGCTTATCGCAGCTGGCGAAGTCCATGGCCGTATTGGTTACCGGATGTCAGAAACTACTTGCGTCGACCTCGTTTCTTTCTTATGGGCGATCTGAATTTCCCTCGAATAAGGTGGGCAGAGGTTCAAATTCTCGCAGCGCACGGTGAAATCAAGACACATTTTGCGAAAATTATCTATTAAACTGTGGCATCACAACACGTCTGCAAATCGGCTTGCGTTACACCGTATTCTGCTTCACCGTGCCGGGACCTATTACTAACGAGTGGCGAGCAACGTGTATATGAAATACAGGTTCTAGAGCCTCTGGAACCTAGTGACCACTGGATGGCGTTAACCAGCCTAGAGCTGCAGCTGCCCTAATCGCGTTCGCCGGAGCCGTCCTAAAATAATGGGAGACCAACTTCCATGGCCTCAACCGAGCCGCCAGTGAAGTGGACTGATCTCTGCCACAGGATACGTTTGTTGAAGCCAGTTGGTCTGTTATAAAAGAGGGTGTACAATTGTTGGTCGTACGTTTCGCAACCTTTAAATATATGAAAGCTGGACCAGTAAAGTCACGTTGGTTTGACAGAGAGTATGGCCAGTTGGCACGATGACAACGTGTATTGTGGGATAAATTCCTTGTGTATTACTCCGCCAATGATTGTGCGACATACCAAAGGCAGCGGAATCTATGTAACAACACAAAACCGCAAAAGCATCCGCCTTTCGAAGAGGAGGTTGCAACCTTGGCACAGACAGTCACCAGAAGATTTTTCTTACATGAAGCTGGGCCTGAGACTCCCAAACTACGTAGCTGTGGTCGATAACACTGACGGACAGCCTCTGACCTCCAACTGTGAAAGTGCGTCCCCATTGGTAGAGCTCTTTGGTTCCATATTTACAAGTGGGTATGCGCCTATGCCGAGCTCGACGTGTGAAGCCCGTACTAAACTGGAGAGCCTGTATTATGGTGTAGAAGATCTCAGCAGTCTACTCGCCAGACGTGACTAGAGGAAACCTGCGGGGACCGATGGACTTCACCCGCTAATTTTAAAGTCCTTATCGGCCCTGATCTCGCCTGCCGGGACGGATCTGTTCAAAAGATCGCTGTCCGAGGGTGCATTGCCGAGCGACTGAAAATGCTCGCTAGTGAGCCTGCCTATAAAATGTGGGGACCCCCGCAATGTAGATGATTACCGACCGATTTTTCTAACCTCTGTTTTGGCGAAGTGGCTAGAGAAGATTATGAAAAAGGACTTTCCAGCTGCTGGAGTCGAGAGATCACCAACGCCGGCACAGCACGGTTTCATGAAGGATTGCTAGCACATTAACAAACAACTGAACGCGATAGGAGTGGTAGCAAGCGCTGAACTGGGAGTAGTTAGTGGATGTTGTCTACCAGGATTTCAGTACATTTTTCGTTAAAGTAAACAATAAACTTCTGTTCCACAAGCTGAGGATTTGTGGTGTTTATGGCGCATTGCACCAGCAAATCATGGACTTCCTCATTGGGAGAATATGGCCGGTTCGGGTGGATGACCACCTAAAAGAATGGTACCCGTCCACTAGCGGCGTACTCCGAGGCATAGTACTAGGGCCCAGTTTGTTCCTGATCCATCTCAATGAAATACCTCACATTCTTCGGTCGCCCTGGGCATTGTTTGCAGACGACCAAATTTGGAGGAATATTGATTCTCCTGACGCCTGTGACGTCCTTCAGCAAGACCTCGACCGCTTATCTCGGAGGTCGGCCAAGTCCTCGTTTATGATTCTGAGGAGGGATGGTAAAGTGCGTTGGTACACTATGGCCGGTCACCCTCTGCATCCCACCAGTTCCGTAAAGGACATGGGATTAATCTCAGGTTGTCAGCAACACAACCAGGCTGTACGCAAACGGATTACGCCTGATTTGTGCATTTTGGCGCAGCTTCTGCACTTGATCTGAAGAGATTTCCACCCGTCTATTATCTTCCATGCTAAGACCGATGCTTGAGTATGGCGCACTCGCCTATTGTCCGATCACAATAGGTGAGATGCAAACACTGGAACGGGTCCAGCATGTAGCTACTCGACACATTCCCAGTTTAAGGTGTATGTCCTACGAAGGCCGATGTAGGAAAGTAGGGCTTTTTACCCTGTCATACCTTCGGCCTCAAGTTTATCTCATAATGACGTACCTCATATTGCACCTGGGTCACTTCCCTATCTTGAGGCCGCTGCTGCACTTTCGCGCACCAAGCAACACATGCAGACAACGCTACAAAGTAATGGTACCGGATTTAAAGCGAATCGCTCACCGTCTGGTGAAATATTGGAACAAGTTGCCAGAGATTCTATTCTAAGCGAAGTCGGTGTCGGTATTTAAGAGATTCCTTGATGCCCACATGGCGGACTGCAGATTTAGAGGGCGTATCGCACCCGGATACGAGGTAGTGCAGCTGCAGTATGCTGCCACGGCGCAGGTATCAGCGATGTGATTCCGCGCATGTGCCCGAGCCACTTACGATGGAGCAACACAGATTTTTATTTTCTCACTCTCTATTCTCAGTATTCGGTATTCACTTATCGTATTTAAGGCTGCCCAATGTTTATTAACTCGTCTGAAGCATTGCAATATATTCAATCAGGGTAGTGTCGCAAAAGTTGGTACTTCAGGGACAAACGGTTTATTCAACAAAGCAAGCGCAGCGAAAATGACAGCACAACAAGCGCGTATAAACATCGATGGAAATAACCAGATCATTTTCATAAGTAACTACGCTTCTGCATTCATGAGATTCTTCCTTTGGTTCAATTAAACAAACCCGCTCCAGCGTAATCAAAAAAGAACCAATCAGTGCGTAGGCGAGATATTCCTAGGCGTCCAACCAACCGCTCTGTTCATTGCGGCAAGTCAGCCGCCTGCTTCTTCATGTAAATTCTTGTGCTTGCACTATCCCGTCACAGGTAAGTTCTGTCACTGCCTGTCAACTCTTTAATTACAGGATAGCCTCTATGCATAGCTGTGATAGCTCAGTAAAATATTTCTTCGTTAGTATTATATGTGGCAGACTATGAAGTTCATAAAACGGAACCCCCAAACGATTTAGAAAGATCGGATGGAATTGGCTGCTGCCCGCCTGAAAACACTGCACAACCACGACGCGTTTCGATGTCATTTCATCTCATCAGGTGTGTGTGATTGACTTTAAACATCTATTCTTGTAAATGATACGTGAGAGATTATGACACCAAACTTGTCTGTCAAGCGTGTCCAACAAGTGCACATTGGTACTTCGGTATATACAGATTTTTACTTCTATATTTAATATCTTTCAGCCCCAGATTGGCCTATACACCTACTCATGCAATCCTGCGTTCGCTGCACTCCATTTGGAGCTCGTTCTGTCGCGTGACACACACCTGCCACGTGACTGGTGTATATGATCTTCAGCTACGACAACGGGAGGAAAAAGGTGTGTTCATGAGTTTTGCCTATTAACATGCGTGTGCTACGGATATACCTCCCGTACATGAAAGCTAGCTTAAATATATTCCGCTTTGTTTGTAGATGAGAATTTATAGTTATCTAACGTTAAATGCTAGACTATCGGACAAACGGTCCTACCAATGGCACAAATGTGCACGGTCATCTGTTCACTGTGAAGTACCTCTCTTTTGACCGTCAGGATCTTTGAAATCAAAGCTAACGAGTTACTTCTGATGCATACTAGCGCTAATCACAAACCACAACGGTGAGATAGCGTGCGCAATCTCCATTACCTGGGGATCTGGTTAATCCTCACACTAATCTTTTCTCTAGGCGCTTGGAGCTGTTGGCCTAAAGAAGTAAGAATTACGAGATGACGCTTATCACTCACCCACTCGTCAGTAAATTGGTTTACATTAAATTAGTATGAAGAAACCACCAACTCATTCTTTGACCATTTCAGTTTTACACTGCGCATACTTGCTTATCTTCTTATCATGCGAAATGTTCTTTGAAATGCTTTCTGATACGCTAGTGAGTGGAGTAGCGCCTCGGTTTGTTTAAATTAACCCTTAATTTTCTCGGATTTTTAACGACCACCGACAACGAGAAGACATTGACAACTATCTAAATATCAGTCAATAAGCGCCCTAGTTAAAATGTATTTGTTGCATCGCTTAAAGTTTGGGACCTCTGTGACCCTTCGTTACATAATAACATTACCAATGTTTGCCGTGCTAAGAAAACAAGGAGAATGACAAACATCTCCATTCACAGCTTGTGAGGCACTACTGTGGAACATGCGGAAGGTTGAGGTCATGTTGCAAATGGCTGCAGATTCACATGTGTTCTATGGGTGGTGGCGATTGAGGGCATTTCGTTGAACTACCTTTGCTGTCACTTGTTACTTTAGTATAATATGCCCGTTTATAGTTTTCTAGGGCATGGATAATTAGCAGCTGAATCAACCTTGCTTCGGTACTTCCGTACAGACAGAATGTTTGTCTAGTGGACCCTGACTAGGAAGTAACGCAGGTTTCATGAAGCGAATAGGGCTATATCGGGCTAAGCAACAGTCAATTTAATCAAGCCCTCACTGACTGGTTTCAGAGTGGACCAGTAAATATGTTCTAGTGCCCAACAAGCAGCGGAAATTCAAAATCAGCGACAATTTAATGCTTTCTTCTACCTATGTTCGGTTTAGTCCATATCAGCATTGCCAAGTGAAACGCATTTGACTTCCGGCGACAGGAACAAGGAGTCATGTGACATATTCAACGATTGTTCCGACAGTGTGCTCTCATGAGAATACTTGTGAAGCCTTTTGTGCAAACCTCCTTGAGCCCCAGTCAACACCGGATAACTCGTAGATACGTGAAAGAAGGACAGTAGCAGTACCACTGAAAAGACCGTTAGGGCTTCACTTGCGTTAAGAGCATCAAAAGTGAATATGAGTTGTGCGGCATGATTTGGTTACTAAAGGATAGTCAAAAACATTTGGAAAAACATCATTATCGAACGAAATGTTCAAAAGTTTTATCTAGCACGCGTCATGTACTACACAACCATCCGCTGTATTCATGATGATGTTGATGGACCTGAATACACTTCATTAATTTAAACAAAAGTGTGCATGGGTGATGGGTTTAGTCGCAAATCTTTCTGTTTGTTGATATCTTCTGTAGTGTAAGCAAATGCCGTAATGACAAACTGACTAAACGAATACGTACCTCCGATTAGCCGATACCAACCATGCGGGTCACTAAGTTGACACTCGTGACAATCTAGCAGATTCGAGATACGTTTTTCCAACCATCAAGTGCATTTCTGCAGCGGTAATTCCCAGACGAGACATAGAACAAAATCGCACACTCAACCATGGCTGCGCCTCTGGAACACAAGTTTCAAAATTCTGGACTTCTGTGTATTGAATTTCCAGGAAATAATTCTGCCAATAATAAACAAATAAATAAGTAATAAATAAATAATAAATAAATAAATCTGCTAATATACAGACTTACGATTTAGGAAAAATTTGATGTTGCAAATTCATACTGTTGGCTTCTGCACGGTAATATAGGGTATTTCAGTAGATATCTACTGATTATCAGGTTCTAAGTTTACAAAATTTACGAGCAGCGTGTGACCGCAAAGTACTGTTTTTGGTAATTAGCTTGTCGTCAGAAAGATAGTTTTTATGTTATTCGCACTGCTGCCTTACAGACAAAATTATTTAAGTGGAACAGCAAGACGCATCCCTTGAGCCAACAATTTATAGAACAGAGGCGGCATCGATGGTGCCCTGATACCAGCTACACTCCAACGTCTACCGTGTAGGCCTGCTTTCTACGGATATCCTACAGGTAGACTAATAGACCCAACAGTTTAATATCCCCTTTGGGCACACGTTTTGCTGACGTCATAAATGTGAACACGTTTCGAGAAATACTAGCATCTTGCGGGTAGTTTTCGCGGATTGATTACCGATGAGATTTGTACTAGAAAATAAATAGTGCAAATTGCTTTTTTGGTTTTATGACTGTGAATCCAACCGTAGTAACATGTCTTATCAGCTTGCACCCTCCCAAACCGGTTCAATTTCCCGCTGTGCTCAGGCAAACGTCGACATCGACGGTGCACGATCGATACCAGCTGGATCTACGTGCGAGGAGAGGAGAACATCAAGGGATGGCAACCTCGAGGGGACTCCCTGATTTTGGAGCACCAGTGGGAATTGGAGCGGCTGAACCGACTTTATATGGTATGTAATTCTATTTATTTCAAGTCAAGTCAAAATAAGCTTTATTAAACCCTAATGGGTTCAATTTCAGCAGTTGCACCACCACTACGGACACCTGGATGATAATCGCAACATACATGCTTGGGGAGAAAAATGAGCATTATTCACCACTGTTGCCCTAACAACCGCTTGAGAAGCATGCTAGTGATTTACGCTTGGTCAACAAGCAAAAGTGAGATTTAATGCAAAACGGTATCACTACACAATGACGTGCAGGAGTATAAAATTTTGACTTTTTAACCAGTAGAAGAGAAAGGGAGCGTTTTGGAAAGATCATTGTGAAGTGGATGAAATCAGTCAGTTATTATCTTCGAAGAAAAATCGTTGCAGGCATCAAGATGTCTAGAAATTATCACAGCAACTAAAGCATCTCAAGACAAGCCGGTGCATCTAGAAACGTACTTTATAAATCTCACCAGTACGATGTCGTATTTCTGAAACAATTCATGGAAAATGCCAGGAGAACAGTATAACCAGTGGGGAATAATAAAGAGGTCATTAAGCTAAATAGCAAAATACGAGGTACTGAAAGCACCTCATGTATAAGGGCAAAAATAAAGTTTTCTGACTTCTTGGTAGGTTTCACAGACATACTTGGACCAATAAAGGTTCTGAGAAAAAAGACACCGAGAAACTTGACGGTTGAAGTGCTGGGTGTAAGGTTTTCATTCACAGGCATGGTGGGGAGATATATTTGAGGAATTGTAACTAGTCGCCAAGAAGTAAAAGACATATTACATCACTGTATTTAAAAGCATTAGGCATAAGCGGGCTGGATGAAGACCATTCCACCAGATCTTCCAGCCCAGGTTGATGTGATGACGAATCCTGGATAGTGGGGGCCATAAATCCCAGCACACCATCGTCAGCATGTTTACACCCTATAAGCGTGGTTTGTATAGGGTGACTTTCAACAAACAACGAAATGGCAAATGCGATAAGATCGCTTCATGTAGAACACCGCAGTCGGTACGGAGGACAGACGATTTAATACCCTTCAACTTGGTGAAGTGAGTACCATCCATAAACTAATCACGTAACATAGTACACACACCCTGGTGAACTCCATTTTCGGATAGAACGTTTAGCATCATTGAATTATCCAGACTTCCAAAGGCATTCGAATATTCTAGAAAACGAAGCCGTACGAACTTACCTATTTGGTCTAATGCAGAGGCTATAGAATAAACAAGATATGCCACCGCATACAATGTGGAAGCCCTGGAGTCCATACGCAAACTGGTAGATATCATCATCAGCAGCGACTGTAAAAATCCGCGGAATCAACATTCTTTCGAAAAGTTTAGAAGCACAAATGTATTTGTACTTAGGCGATACTTTCGAGATCCATTTTTTGACACTGGGGTTATACTGGTCGTCCTCCAAATATCCCGGATCACACGTATAGGGAGGCATTTGTTAAAGAGATGTTGTACAGGCAGTGTGAGAGATTCAGCGCATTATTTCAAAGCGAAAGGTGAGAGAAGACATTCGGAACAAAAGCTGCGTTTCCTCTTAATCTTTTGCCTTCATTGTGAACCTTGCTTTGATTGAAGGGCCTAGCTGGACTTGAGTTAATTACGGGGGGCAAAGAAGGTGTGCCTAATGAGGTGCAACAAAACTTAGAATTTTTTTCCACATCCACTTCACCGAACTAACTGCAAAGGCTCTTACCAGAGAGCTGCCTCAGAAGCCCCATCGATCGCGAAAGTTATGCTTACATAGAACTGCTTCGACCTGTAGGTGAGTTAGCCATTTTATCTCGGCTTTAATTGATGTGGTTAAGCATTTGCTACGAGTAGCATTCAGCGCAACAATTATCCTACTATCATTAATAGCATGTCTGGATATTTGGTATTTTCAGATCAGCGCTTATGATAAGAAACAACATATTCTGTCTAAACTAGAATCAAAAATACGTCGCTTTTATGACAATACTGGCGCCATGCAACCTGTCGGAATGTGAAGCTTCGCATCCCCTGAAGAACCTAAGCTTTTATGAAAACCATGACGCGCGGGCTCTTTCAATTTGGTGAATTATAGAAAGGTAAACATTAACAAGGGAATGCTTTTCAACTCAATTGACCATGACGTATGTTTGGAAGTCTAGTAGCACCTCGAATTTTACAATGTAAACAATACAGGTAGTTAAGGCACTTGATTAACAGAACATAATTGAAGGAAAACCTAATCTGTTGGGAAGGATGAACTCGTAAATTGTGCCTGGCTGTTACGTCGCATCATATTTGCTGTTGCACATTTGTGTTGGTGGGTGTCTTGTCATTCTATACGGAATATGCTGGAAAATTGTCGTACCTTACTAAAACTTTGGAAAGCTAAAGACACCATTGCGTTTATTTTGTGGAATACATTTATTTTGGCAACTGTTAATACATGTATGCCTAACTGTTATTAAAATACGTTACTTTAGGGAACCCAACAACCCAGGTGCCATACTACAAAAGATATGTCGATGATATCTTGGCTTTCTGTTCGTCGGAGCAGCAGCTCACACATTTTGGTAGAACGACTCAATGGTGCTCATGCTAACTTACGGGTTACATGTGAAATAGAACAAAACAATTGTCTACCATACCTGGACATACTCATAACTCGCAGGGAGGATGGATTGATTAAGAGGTCAATTTACCGAAAATCGACTTGGTCCGGTCAGTACCTGCACTACACCAGCTTCACACCAGTGCGGTACAAACGGACACTTGTGAAGACTCTAGTTAGTCGTGCCAGACGAATTTGTTCGGCCGACTGTCTGGACGATGAGCTGGTGTTCATTACAGCAACACTAATGGCGAATGGCTACCCTCGAAGATTTATCGAGAAACACAGCCAACCGCGAGGACCAAAGGACTTGGTGCACACGGCAGCCAAGAAGAAAGTGTATATCGAGTTACCTTTCAAAGGTGACTTAGCCACGCTGAAGACAACCAAGCGTATAATTTCTGCTACACAAGGAAGTTACTATGCTGCACAAGTTGTCGTTATCAACCGAACCCGAAATTTGCCCATACCTCCAACGAAAGAAGCTCAGCCTATTGGGGCCAACTCACACTGTGTATACCAATTTGTATGTGACTGCGGAAAAAGTTACATAGGCAGAACCAATAGAACGCTGACTTCCCGAATAAAGGAACATGTGCCAAGATGGGTTCAACGTGAAGTTGCTCAGATTGCCTACCCTCGTCAGATTCCATGTTCGCGCAGACCGCCGGCTTCCTCGATAGGCAAACACCTATTAGACTCGGGTCACCAATTAGAGCTGGGCTCAGCGTTTAAAGTTGTGTTACGTCACGCTAATCCCCGTTTCCTTCGGTTTGCCGAGGCTGTCGCAATTAGCCGGATTAAGCTCGCCTTGTGTGTTCAGAAACAATTATTTGTTAGCCTAAAGCTGCCTTGGACGTAGGTGTGAACTTCCGTCATTCACTTTGCACCTTAAGTTTGTCTGGTTGCACCCACTGTTAGCTATATCTATGCTTACCGGTTATTGTTAATGGTACTGAGGAGACACTACGAAATGCATGCATCTACCAGCCTTCGTCTTCTTTCCGTGCTTTTCAAATTGTTGAAGGGAACTAACTGCTTTAAACCCAACAATCGTTTTCCCATCCTAAGGACATATCTTTTTACTATCGATTGGAATTCTTTCCAAAACTCTTAATATCCTATTAACAATGACGGCATCCTTTAGATAAAACAATTTGTCTATGACATGCTCTTGATAAGCACTATAGTTTGCTGACATAATTTGATAGATAAAGGCGTTATTATTGTAATATTTGGTATAAGTCTCCGGCCTAAATGCCGGACAGGGTAGCCCCTCACCCACTGCACGGCAGTAACGTGTAAGTCAGTGGATATTGAGCGGCGCTATATCACATCTAGCAACTTATTCACGATGGTCGTTGCCGTCCCCCGTAGCTCAGTGGTCTCAACCACGGACTGGCAACAGTCGAGTTGCGGGTTCGAGCCCTATCAGGGTCCGATGGAATGCGCACTGCTGACGATTCCCGAAAGGATGAAACGCGCGTACGGTACTATTCCGGGGGTGTGACGGCTGTCTGAGTGAGTCTAGATGTGAAGAATATCTACCCATACCATTCAACTCCCCCTACTACTCTGCTGTATTCAGTACGCAGACGAAACTGCTTATAATGCCATAGATTAATTGGCGGCTTACGTTTGGTACGTTCGTCGCTTGGTGAGGGGGCTACCCTGTCCTCTGCACGGCAGTAAAGTGTAAGTCAGTGGATAGTGAGCGGTGCTATATCACATCTAGCAACTTAATCACGATGGTCGTTGCCGTCCCCCGTAGCTCAGTGGTCTCAACCACGGACAAGGAACAGTCGAGTTGCGGGTTCGAGCCCTATCAGAGGTCCGATGGAATGCGCACTGCTGGTGATCCTCGAAAGGATGAAATGCATTTTATTTTCGGCTACGCAAAGCACGCTATTAAAGGGATAAGCTTAGTAATGGTACAAAAACTGATTAAGAAATGTGCAGTATTATAATAGGAGTTTCATATAGGTGGATCCATAAATCTGGGTATGTAGGTAGGTGTGTTGCTCGTATTCGTAAATGTGTTGCTGTTCTTTTAAATGAGTTCGATGTCGTCGCCGGTGTCTGAAGAATTGTTTGACGCCTGTAGATTTGATAAGCTTGTCAGCGTAAACTTGGGCAATGACTTTATTTAGTCTCATGTCACTTCCACCACGTCACAGTGTTTTTAAGCAGATATTTGTGGCTTTTTAGAGGGAAATCGCTTGCCAGGCGAAAACTCACTGCGTTCTAGAACACTACCGCCGAACTATTTGTTGGAACGGGTTAAAACCGAACCACCCAGCTGGCACCACGGGAAGGTTGTTCGGCTACCCAGCCTAAAGGTTTCACAGTCCCCAAATGCCTATCAGCTACAAGTTCAAATGTAATCTTTAAATATCTACTGA